ATGTGTTAATCCGTCTACGATAGGAAGGCCTGGGCACACCTCACTCATATAACACCAGTAATTCAATTTCAATTTCAATTGTTTATTCCTTGATAGAGAAGCGGGATCCTAGTGCTGTCACTAGGTACCCTTGTACAATGACACCAGAATCATCTGGCAAGTGGAAAAGTATATACAGTATAAATATTATAAAGGCTTACTAAAGCCTAAGGAAGGATGTTCCTTTAACACATAATCAATATTATTTACAAATCTGGCCAGTATTGGGAGGATCATCGTGTCTCCGTCAGGGGTTTATAACACCATCTGTGAGGGAATTACTACACCACGTCAAGTCCTCATAACACCATCTGTGAGGAATTACTACATACGTGATGCCCTCATAACACCATCTGTGAGGGAGTTACTACACCACGTCAAGTCCTCATAACACCATCTGTGAGGAATTACTACATCACGTGAGGCCCTCATAACACCATCTGTGAGGGAGTTCTACACCGTCGTCCTCATACCATCTGTGAAGGAATTACTACACCACGATGCCTCATAACACCATCTGTGAGGAATTCGTACACTACGTGATGCCCCATAACACCATCTGTGAGGGAGTTACTACACCACGTGAGGCCCTCATAACATCATCTATGAGGAATTACTACACCACGTCAGTCCCCATAACACCATCTGTGAGGAGTTACTACACCACGTGAGGCCCCTCATAACACCATCTGTGAGGAATTACTACACCACGTGAGGCCCCTATAACACCATCTATGAGGGAATTACTACACCACGATGCCCTCATAACACCATCTGTGAGGAATTACTACACCACGAGGTCCCTCCTAACACCATCTGGAGGGAGTTACTACACTACGTGTTTGCTGTTCAACACCTACATTAATCTGTATGTTCATCATGTTCCTTTACCTTTCTCTAATGAAGGCTTTTGTTAAACCACCAATGTATGTATGTCATTTATGTCCAATGTATATTTTCAGCCTTTCGGCTGCAGAACTTTTTCAATAAACCGTTAATTATCATTATTATTATTATTATTAAGAGTATCAACATTGCTATTTCAGTATTCTTGTTTCAATATTACTTAAAACTGTTACATTAGTTTTACCAAATTTAATAAATCTTCAGAAAATGTAATTATTATTCATTACATTTTTTTCAGTTCACTACAATAACTACAACTTCTTCATAAACGAATGAATATTAAAGTGTACATTTCAGAAACAAACACTAGACCACTATATCATCAAGGTCATTTACTCTATTTCCTTATCACTTAACTGAAGTATTTCCATAAGGTATACACTAATTAATACACACAAGATACTTAAGTTTATTACAAGTTGTGTGTGATCATATTAACGCCCATAACCTCACCTTCACCTGACAGTAACTCACCTTCACCTGACAGTAACTCGCCTTCACCCGACAGTAACTCACCTTCACCTGACAGTAACTCACCTTCACCTGACAGTAACTCATCTTCACCTGACAGTAACTCACCTTCACCTGACAGTAACTCACCTTCACCTGACAGTAACTCACCTTCACCTGACAGTAACTCACCCTCACCTGACAGTAACTCACCTTCACCTGACAGTAACTCACCCTTCACCCGACAGCAACTCACTTTCACCTGACAGTAACTCACCTTCACCTGACAGTAACTCACCTTCACCTGACAGTAACTCACCTTCACCTGACAGTAACTCACCTTCACCTGACAGAACTCACCTTCACCTGACAGTAACTCACCTTCACCTGACAGTAACTCACCTTCACCTGACAGTAACTCACCTTCACCTGACAGTAACTCACCTTCACCTGACAGTAACTCACCTTCACCTGACAGTAACTCACCTTCACCTGAGTAACTCACCTTCACCTGACAGTAACTCACCTTCACCTGACAGTAACTCACCTTCACCTGACAGTAACTCACCTTCACCTGACAGTAACTCACCTTCACCTGACAGTAACTCACCTTCACCTGACAGTAACTCACCTTCACCTGACAGTAACTCACCTTCACCTGACAGTAACTCACCTTCACCTGACAGTAACTCACCTTCACCCATTAACTCACCTTCTGACAGTAACTCACCTTCACCTGACAGTAACTCACCTTCACCCGACAGTAACTCACCTTCACCTGACAGTAACTCCCTTCACCTGACAGTAACTCACCTTCACCTGATAACTCACCTTCACCTGACAGTAACTCACCTTCACCTGACAGTAACTCACCTTCACCTGACAGTAACTCACCTTCACCGACAGTAACTCACCTTCACGACGTAACTACTTCACCCACAGTAACTCACCTTCACCTGACAGTAACTCACCTTCACCTGACAGTAACTCACCTTCACCTGACAGTAACTCACCTTCACCTGACAGTAACTCACCTTCACCTGACAGTAACTCACCTTCACCTGACAGTAACTCACCTTCACCTGACAGTAACTCACCTTCACCGACAGTAACTCACCTTCACCTGACAGTAACTCACCTTCACCTGACAGTAACTCACCTTCACCTGACAGTAACTCACCCTTCACCCGAAGTAACTCACCTTCACCTGACAGTAACTCACCTTCACCTGACAGTAACTCACCTTCACCTGACAGTAACTCACCTTCACACCAGTAACTCACCTTCACCTGACAGTAACTCACCTTCACCTGACAGTAACTCACCTTCACCTGACAGTAACTCACCTTCACCTGCAGTAACTCACCTTCACCCGACAGTAACTCACCTTCACCTGACAACTCACCTTCACCGACAGTAACTCACCTTCACCCGACAGTAACTCATCTTCACCTAACAGTAACTCACCTTCACCTGACAGTAACTCACCTTCACCTGACAGTAACTCACCTACCGACAGTAACTCACCTTCACCTGACAGTAACTCACCTTCACCCGACAGTACTCACCTTCACCTGACAGTAACTCACCTTCACCTGACAGTAACTCACCTTCACCTGACAGTAACTCACCTTCCTGACAGTAACTCACCTTCACCTAAGTAACTCACCTTCACCCAGTAACTCATCTTCACCTGACAGTAACTCACCTTCACCTGACATAACTCACCTTCACCTGACAGTAACTCACCTTCACCTGACAGTAACTCACCTTCACCCGACAGTAACTCATCTTCACCTGACAGTAACTCACCTTCACCTGGCAGTAACTCACCTTCACCTGACAGTAACTCACCTTCACCTGACAGTAACTCACCTTCACCTGACAGTAACTCACCTTCACCTGACAGTACTCACCTTCACCTGACAGTACTCACCTTCACCTGACAGTAACTCACCTTCACCTGACAGTAACTCATCTTCACCTGACAGTAACTCACCTTCACCTGACAGTAACTCACCTTCACCTGACAGTAACTCACCTTCACCCGACAGTAACTCACCTTCACCCGACAATACTCACCTTCACCTGACAGTAACTCACCTTCACTGACAGTAACTCACCTTCACCTGACAGTAACTCACCTTGACGTCTCACCTTCTGACAGTAACTCACCTTCACCTGACAGTAACTCACCTTCACCTGACAGTAACTCACCTTCACCGACAGTAACTCACCTTCACCTGACAGTAACTCACCTTCACCCGACAGTAACTCACCTTCACCTGACAGTAACTCACCTTCATGACAGTAACTCACCTTCACCTGACAGTAACTCACCTTCACCCACAGTAACTCACCTTCACTTGACAGTAACTCACCTTCACCTGACAGTAACTCACCTTCACCTGACAGGAGCCGGTGCAGCCCATCCTCGCAGGCTCCACAGCTAGGCTCAGAATACGGCGGCTGGAGGTGAGCGACTCGGCTCCTATCACTGTGTGGCCAAGAACAGCCAGGAGACCGACGGTACAATCAGGATCTACTGTGTGTGTGTGTGTGTGTGTGTGTGTGTGTGTGTGTGTGTGTGTGTGTGTGTGTGTGTGTGTGTGTGTGTGAAGTGTAATATATTTTTACTCATTTAATCTGAATAAAATATGATGTCGAGTAAATGAGTTTAGAAAGTCGCCTGGCCGGGCTGTGAGCAGGTGTATGGTCTTTGATGACGAACCCTGGGTGATTACCTGAAATTGAATATAAAGGAGCAGCGTCTTCTACCTCTTTTTTGCTTTTTCGCCTCCCTACTTCCTGCCTCTCTCCTCTCCTTCCTCCCTCCTTCTCCTCCTCCATCTCACTTCTCCCTGCCCTTCCCACCTCCTTGCTGCTTCTTTCTCCTACCCCCTCTCCTTGCCTCTTTTTTATGCCTCCCTTTCCTAGCTCTCTTAGTTCCCTCTTCCCCTCCTCCTTTCTTTCCCTTCCTCCTCCTTCCCTCCTTCTCCTTACCTCTCCTTCTTCCCAAACTCATCTCCCCTTTCCCTCCTTCCTTCCTCTCCCTTCCCCCCTCTCTTTCTCTCTTTCCCTCCCTCCTCTTGCCTCTCCTTCATTCCTCCTTCTCCCTGCTCTTCTTACCTTTCTCTCCTTCTCCCTCCTTTCTTCTTTCCCTCCTCCTTCTCCTCCTTTCTTACTGCCTCTCCCTCCTTCCTTCCTCTTCTCCTTCCTTCCTCCTTCCTTCCCCCCTTTCTTGCCTCTCATTGTCCATCCTCTCTCTTTTTGCCTCTCCTTCTCCCCCTGCCCCACCTTCCTCCCTGCTCCTTCCTCCACTTCCTGCTCCTCTCTCTCTCGGTTCCTCTCTCTGCCTTTCACCTCTTCTCCTTGCCCATCTCTGTGCCTCCCCATCCCGTCCGACCACCCACCTCACCACCTCACTACCCATCATCCACCTCACCACCCACCATCCACCTCACTACCCATCATCCACCTCACCACCCATCATCCACCTCACCACCCACCATCCACCTCACCACCCACCATCCACCTCTCACCCACCTCACCCATCAAAATATACTCGCAGGCGTGAGATTATGCCGACCATCCTGCCGCCACAGAGTCCCAGCCGCCCAGGACTACGGTGGAGGTTGAATCGGGGGTGGAGGAGAAGAACACTCGGGGGCATCAGGTGGTCTCCGGCTCAACAGGTAAGTTGTCGCCTCCTTCACCCTTCTGAGAGGACTGAGGTTTCCTTATATTGGATCAACTAGAAAGTAAATTTTTGTGTCAAATCTTTTTAGAGACAAGTTGTAGAATGATTGATATTTATTGAAATTTGTGTCCGGAAATATCAAATTTTAAACAAACAAATCTCAACGTAACATAACTTTGTTTAAGTTAACTTAAGCTTAACCTAACTTAACTTAGCCTAACATCAACCTACTCTAACTTTGCTTAACCTAACCTAACCCATCACTTTGACCCACCCTACAGATCGCAAGAAGTACCAGAATTTCCTTCACCCTAAAGGCATTAATGATATCTCAGACCAACACCACCTCGGCAAGTCCTACGAGCAAAGGTAATGTCTACATGTCCAATCTCCTCTCTCTCTCTCTCTCTCTCTCTCTCTCTCTCTCCTCTCTCTCTCTCTCTCTCTCTCTCTCTCTCTCTCTAACCATTGTCTTCAAGGTAATTTTCTTTATCTTCCCAACAATCAACATTACATTCTAAATCACCCATATAGGTACAGTCCCCTCCACTAGTGCGTTTACAGGGGCTCGTCTAATCAACATTGCACAAATCATTACATTGAGATATTTGTTTTACTATTATTTTACTTTGATTCCATATTGCAGTTCCTTCTGTTGAATGTAAGCAAACGCAGGGCTGCCACACTGCACAAATCCTGAAGCCCTATAAATGCACAAGTGAAGGGTACCGTACAGTCTCACCCAAAAGTTGGGTGACAGCAGTTAGCACTCTGTCAAGGTCGGCATAAAAGGCCTCCTTGATGTCATCCTCTGCATTCAGTGTTGGGGCTAATGAAGAAGTTTTGACATGAGTGATTTAGTGGGACTCAGGTGTCCCAACAGACATATCAGTTATCTTATGTTGGATGCATTGGCGGATGGCAAAGCCAACTAGATAAATGCGGTTTATATCTGCAGCAGGCTTACCCTTCCCAAAGATGGTATAGCCAGACCCTCGTTCTGTGAGTCGACCCTCGGCTGGGAACCGGGACTCACTAATGGCTGCGATGTCGATGTAATCCCTAACCAGCTCTTTTGTCACAAGGGCAGTTCTTCTTTCAGGATTCTTATTTGTGTCAGTATCTGTAATTATGATTGTGTTTTCGACTGCATAAGGATGACTTACTGGGTGTGGTTACCGAGTCAGGTTAGTTCTTTTGGCAGGCTATGTTTAGGGTGCCTTTTCTAGCCCCCTTCCCATGTGGGGTGAGCAGAGTGGGTTCTCGAGAAGTCTGCTCAGTCGCATAGACAAGACCGGATTGCACTCCTGCCTAGATCCTAGTGCATAAACGATCATCTTATCCATGCCGCCCATGTGCAGAGCTGTGACTAGAGACTCCCGGCAGTCATCTCTGCCTGTCTCCGTTGCCATTCGTCCGTCGCCTTAGGATTTTTGGGGGTATAGGAGTTTGATGGTGATCAGAAGTATGATGAGCTGGATGATGGCTGCGCGTGAGTTGATTTATGTGGTGAGGCAGGAGCGCAGGCTGCCCCTTGGCTCTCCCTTCCGATCCAGTGGTGCAAGTGTTGCCGACTGGGGAGGTGCAATGGACTGCCGATAGCGTAGTTTGTTGGGTTTCGCCTTAGTAGCCTGTCCATCATGCATTGCCTTCGTCTGCCGGTGTAGTCGTTGGGTTCCCATGTTGGTCAGGTCTTCCACCTTTACCGCCGTTGGGGTCTTGTTGGAGCTCTGTAAGCATGTCTGCCTGATGCGGGGCTCCACCGCAGATTTTTCGTTCGGGGTTTACTCCCGTAGCCCTTACCTGCCATGGTTAATCCGCAAGGCAACGGTTGGTAAGCGCCAGGACGTGTCCACATGCCAGTGGGCCCATGCGCTGTCCCTCTGGGGCCCACTGCTGCTCTGAGATCCCCTGCTGGTCTAGCCTGAGCCCACGAGACACCCAGTTACCGTGTGTTGCCACGAGGAGGCACAGCAGGAGTCTTGATGGTGAAGAGGCTGTGTACTGGCAGGGGAAGAGTTATGCAAGTTCTTCCCTGTTCACCACAAGGGCTAGCCAGCGGCGGCAGCTGAAATCGAGAGGGAGCAAGCATTGCTTGCACTTTGACACTAACAGAATGCTGCCACAGTAGACGCATTACACCACCGTGTGTGACCCGGGCAAATACCTTAACCACTTATAACATTCCACTTAACCACTTACTTGAAACACACTTCACTTAACCACTTATAACAGACTCCAATTTCCACTAAACATCCACTTACCACTTACAACACGATCCACTTAACCACTTACTTACATTACTCTCCACTTAACCACTTACAGCACACTCTACTTAACCACGTGGAACACACTTCACTTAACCACTTAACTCAACCTTCTCTACCTCAGACCGACAGTCTAAAAGTAATATAACTCTCTCTCTTTTACGCACTCTTTTATGCTAGAGTGATTCTGGTTCTTCCTCTGGTCAGAACAGTTATAAAGAGAGGTTGTACCGTGTAAGTAGTGACACTGAGAGCAATATTTACACTTACACAGGTAATATGATACTCTATGTAACCTAACCTAACCTAACCTAACCTAACCTTTCACCTAGAACTAATCTGGTGTTAAGATATCATAGCAGAAGCGAAAATGTCTTATCGTCTTTTCCTCATCAATTTCTTGAGACACAATGAATAAGAATGACGAAGAGAAAATATGTTATTCAACGGAGAATTCTATTATTCACTGTGTCTTAAAGGAAGAATCTTCGTGGGTGATGTATCTTGGAGGCTACCTTGTTTACTTAATGTATAACACTTTGTTTATAAGTCTATTTATACGCTCAGGTTAGTGTAATACAAGGAGTGTTTATTTGAGGGAATCTCGTGACGCATAGAGTTATATGATGAGACTGGGTTACTGTGCGTGTGTCTCTCTCTCACTCTCTCACTCTCTCTCGCCTTTTCTTTTTGTTTCTGTCAGCGTGTTTTTTTCTGTCTGTTTATCTGTCTGTCTGTCTGTCACTCTGTGTGTGTGTGTGTGTGTGTGTGTGTGTGTGTGTGTGACATAAACACTCTCTCGTTAAGCAGCAAAACCTGTAATTCCTTCCACATTGACCCATGTCCCCACCCTCACCTCTTGTCACACCTTGATACACTTCGTCTGTTCTCAAGGTACAGACGCCAGCCACCACGAACATATCTTCCCATATTATGTTGGTTGCCTGTGGTGGGTATCTCTCACCCCTGTTCACGTGGTCAGCTGATTATCTTTTCTTTATTATTTCTATTCGCTTTTTCTGTTACCACACACACACACACACACACACACACACACACACACACACACAGCATGAAATTCCTCCTCTTTGCAATTGGTGTTCATCCCTTATTTAATCCTGAATTTTGTTCACTCGTTCACAGTATTTGACAAGGAAGAGGGAGTAACAAGCAGTTGCCATTCGCCTGTCTAATTGTTTCACCGCTGACAGCAATAAATTCGGATCCATTGTTGTTTTTTATGTGTAATTCAATTAAATCTTTCCTGTCTCTCCTTCCCTTCCTTCTACCTACCTACTGCTCTCTCTCTCTCTCTCTCTCTTCAGCTGGTTGTGAGTGAACGGTGTTGGTCTGCCTCAGTGAGAAGCAGAAGAACCACGAGAGACACACATACACCTAACTGAAGCTCTTCCCAGGTGCAGGGGTGGTGGAGTTCGCGTGAATGTTTGTTTTGCAAGATTGTCCTCACTATTTGGAGTCCTCATTTATCATTAGGTGAGGAAAAGGCTTGCTGTTGTTATACAAAAATTCACTACAAGATTAAGATCATTTTGGTCCACTGTTTCCAGACCAGCGAGGCCCAGCGACACCAGGGCAGCGTCCAGGGTATGGCGCCCCAGCCCACGACAACGGCCGTGGGACCAATACCTCCTTCAGTAACTTCCTCATGCTGGGGGGCGTCACAGCCGTGCTGGTGTATAACGTGCTCCTCGTCTCCTCGTCAGGGACGCATCTGTAACAGCGGCTGTGATAGATAAATACTGTACTGTACATTGGCTGCTTCTAACCCATAGTGCTTACTTTTATGATAGTCTATTGAGATCCTTAACTCACTGATTACTGTTCTTAATCTATTATCTCTCTGTGTCAGAAGAATCAGGTGATCCACTTACATATTTGTTCGCCTCTACACGTTAGTAGTTATAAAAAGACTATGACCTTGCTTGTTAATATGGCGGACGTCGTAAAGTGTGTGTGTGTGTGTGTGTGTGTGTGTGTGTGTGTGTGTGTGTGTGTGTGTGTGTGTGTGTGTGTGTGTGTGTGTGTGTGTGTGTGTGTGTGTGTGTGTGTGTGTGTGCGTGCGCTACTTGTATTAGTGGTTAAGTTATATTGCTCATGTGTGTATACGTATGTACTGTATATAACCAACTGCAACCTCTCCTGTAATAGTATTCCCTTATCACCAACACTAATATGAAAGACAAAGATTTATGAAGGATTGTGAGCAATAAAACAGTGTTGGTGGCAGCTCCCGGCCCTGTAACGCTCCAGGCTGGATGATATAGACTTTCTGCAATAATACTGTATTGTTACACATTGTTTACATTTTGTTATGAACTGCATCTCATGTGCTGTAAAATACCATGGATTTAAGTTGTTGTTTTATCATCATGTCAGATATTTACGATTACATTACCAAGATGGATGTGTCGAGCGGCTGAACCATTCCATCAACTATGGCGAAGAATATTAGGAGAGTTAAATAATTCTGCTTGCGTTTTTATGACTCTCTCTCTCTCTCTCTCCCTCCATCCCTCTCAAGTCGGTCGTCAATCAGAACTCTCTACAGTATATCTCCAGCAATATAAATCTAAAGTTAAAATAGCCATAATATATTTCTTCTTGGGTGAGGTAAATGACCCGTGCTGTGAGGAAGGAACTATTGTGCACGTAAAACACTGAAGCCACGGCAGCTACATTATGAGGACAACTTATAGGTGTTGTTGGATAATTGTCTTACTGATTTGACTTGATACGATATTGCATCAACATTCTTCATTCTCTGTCTGTCTGTCTGCCTCTTTCCTCTCCATATAATACGTTCATAAAAGTTGCGTGTAAAAACTATGAATTTTACTTTTTGTCCATTTAATGAAAAAATTATGAGTAACTGTTTATTTTGTATTCATTTAAAACATTATGAGTAAATGTTTATACCTTACTCATATTAAAACATCATGAGTAAATGTTTCCTTTTTATTCAATTAAAATGTTATGAGTAAACGTTTATTATTTCATCCGCATATATAACCTTATGAGTATCCCAACTGTGTCATTTTACTCATTGAAAAAATTATGAGTCAAAATTAATCCTCGACTCTTTCGA